ACGAGCATTACGTCCTGCAAACTCAAGACGCTCGACATCCGCGGCGGGACCGGTGACGAAACCGTGATGAAACCGAGAGTGGGCTGCCATTAGGCGTGTAAAAAGTAACGATCGTTCCGTCCGCGGAAAATAAAGGATGTAATAACATTTATTAGCTGGATTGCTCGATGGGAACCCGACCGAGTTTTAATACACTGGGTGTCCCTGTAACTGGTGGCTCGACTTGGAAAGGGTTGGAGTTCTTTGCGAAAAGATGATTCGAAATTGTTGATTGGCATTTCATCGTTTGGGACCATTTTTTTGAGAAAATTGGCCCGGAATATTTGTATCATGCACGAGTAATTAGTTGATTTAATTGAATACTATTATCAATAGGAAAATGCCTTACGCGAAGAGATAAATAAACAATGTAAAATTGTATATTTTTGCTTAAGGAAGTTTTAAGTGAGAAAATTTTACTTTATACTTTTCACTTAATTTACTAGTGTAAAATCATCGATATTTATAATTACACTTATCTCCCTATTTATGTAGATTGTCTAATCTACGTGAATTTTGTATGAACCATGAAAATATTTCTTTCACATAAGTTAACAAAGGAAGGTATTAGAATCAATAATATAATTCAAAATAATCAACCCTGTCTTTTTAATTAGCTCAAAGTCAATATCCTCATCGTTTGAAATAAATGAAAAAGAAAACAAATAAAAATAAATGAATACCTAAATAAATTTATTAATATATTATATATTCAATTATATATTTAAAATAAAATCACGGAAAAGTATAATATCCAACCACATAAAACGAGATGGCATTAATTAATACCGCGTGTAAAAAGTATTGCGTAAATAGTGGAATGGATGTACATAAAAATAATTTACTGTTTTATAAGCAGGTTTCTTTGCTCATTTAATTCCATTCACATGGTCTACTTTATGTAATTATACAACAATAAATTATAAAGAATAAAATTTCCTGTATTCTATCGATCTTTCTCATAAATACCCATAAACATCGGAAATATTAGTAATAAGTAAATACTATTTATGCAGTCCGCCCCATAGATTACTATTTCAGTATATTCAGATCGAAATGTTATTTCTAAAAAAAAGCTGAATAGAATAATATAATACACTTCATAATTTTAGAATCTCGTTGCTGCAGGTCTGTTTGAAAACTGACGTAAGAATGTGCCGCCAAAGGTCATTACATACGCAAATTCAAGTGAGAGGCTTGTCCAGCTTTACCGTTATTTTTTTGTGCAATTAGTTTATTGGCAGACCGTGTATTTCGTGAATAAACTTGCGGACTGAACTAACAAAGAATCGTAAAGCAAACCAAGGAAATATCATTTAATCGTGATTAAGGAAGTCGGTCCCTTCCGAGGCAAACACGGTGTTCCACTTTTTCCTAACTGCTTATAGAAATATTGCTAACGTAGCAACTACATCATATATAGGGACAATTTTATAATAGTGCTTCTCAAATATTTTCGAATTAATTAATTAGTAAACGGTTATATCAAACTGTAGTTGATTTAACTCCTTAAAGCACGCGATTTTAAAGAAAAAAACCAAGTTAAACTGTATAACTTTTAGAGAAAAAACCCAAGAACTTATTGGAACACAGGAGGTTCAGAATAAATCATTACTAGATTAATTAACCAGAAATCATTAATTAACACGTTGACTGCCACGAGAATCTTGAGTATCTCGTACAATGTTACTTATTCTTTCATAGCGAAGACAAATAGCATTAGAATTAATTATTAACACCTTTTACTGAAGAGACTCTCAAATACCATTTGATTCAACGCAATAAAATAATAAAATAATAATCAACATGTAAGACATACAAATAAAACAATTATAGCCTCTAATCTAGATGTTTTTCTATGCTAGTCTCAACTAATATCGATACTTCATCAAAAAATAATGAATACTTATAATGGAAAATATTGTCGAGTACAAAGAGTTAATACGGTATCACAGTTCTTGCGTTACACTGTTCTCTATATAGTTACTAACGTAGCAATATATTTTTATTCGACATGAATTTTCTTATTGCAACTGTTCTCAAGGAATTTGGTAACTCCGGTCATCGGTGGTCGTCATGGCAGTCAACGCGTTGATGTTCTCTAGTCATTTTCTAAACAGTGAATTGTCAAACATTCAGTCATGAATAACTTATGGGAATGTAAAATACGTAACACCGCGGAACACGCAAACGTGAACAGCGTTCTCAGCCGTTCCTCAACCTCGTTTGAATTTCATGATCCGCATCGTGCATCGATACTTGTGTTTGCTGAACGATGAATCAAATTAATTATACGGTAATTGTTGGAAATTGCATTTCCATGGCGAAAGGGTCAATGATCAAGGATGGGCATCAGAGTCATTGTATGTACGATGATCGATACAACAGATCTACATTTAGAAATAAAGTTGATTACTTAATCAGTTAGCTGTTGCGACCTCTTTGAAGAATGTTCCTAAAATGTGTCGCAAAAATTAAGTCAGCTGTTTTTGACGAGTATACTTGTCACAACACAAAATCTTGCCGTTTCTTCGTGGCGCGTATATTCGTCAAAAACAACTAACTGGTTAACGCACATTTTGTCGTAGTGCTAAATTCGAAGTCAATTAACGATACTGTTTTTTTGGTAGTTTTTAGAAATATTTCTAAATTGAGAATGTGTTCGTAGAGGTCTATTTGGTTGGTATTATAGAAGAAACTATATTATCCGAGAGTTTCACTTTCATTACTTGCGTTTATAGTTGCAACTACTGATTTAAGATCATACTGTTCTTCTATATACTTCCAGATTCACTGACGATAAAATAAATTTCTATGTAGGTATGTACTACTATCAGATGACAATTCTAAAAATAACGTTTTCCCAATAGATTTCCTTGAAAGAAAAAGAAGAACGAAACAAAACATATGGTCACTGCTGGATGAAATATAATAGAAGAGTTAACACTAGAACTACTGTACTCGTCAAAATGGATATCAGTTCTTTCAGTTCCCAATTACTGATATCTTAAAAGTATCAAATATCCAAAATTATTTTGGAAATAAATAGTTTCGTCCAATACTATAACGAATATCCAAACGAACCCAAAAAATATAATTATTATAATCTTTATAAGGATTACAAAAATGCTGTTATTTATTTAGTCGTTACTCATTTACAATCTGCACCGTAACATTAGCAACAATCAAACTTGTAGAAATATTGAATTTTTGCATATGTATCGCATAAAATCGATAGTTCTAGCTTAACACACTCACTACCAGCGTCACATATTTATGACGGCCGTAATTCTATATTTCACATAATGAAAATAAAATTATTCTATGTATATTGTTATTAAAAATTATAAACTACGACGTTATATTTAGGAACTCAATGACTCGTTTCAGTTTCATTTTTCTAATGTTTTGTTTAGAAGATTTGTTGGATTGAAGAAAATATTATAATTGCGGAGACCGTCACCGAAGTAAGCGCTGATAGGGAACGTATTAAACGCTACTAGATGAGCCGTTTCAAAACATTCCGATTCACGAGCTGCTCGAGAGTGTGAATCGAAGGGACTGACTTCCGCTTCCTAGAGGTTAGATCGATCGCGAGCTGATTCTTTCTCCGCACCGTCCGTCCGACCGTCCGTTCCGCTAGGCACGATCAAGCACGCTTATCTCGCAAATATCGACCATCGTAGACCGGACGATCGTTGCGATGAAATTCATCTCCGATGATCCGGCGATCGCGAAGGGGATCATCCGGGCGAACGCTCGCCAGGTAGAGGAGAGAGACTGACTGACTGCTCTCGAGTTTCACCGACTTACTTAGGACCGTGCGCGGAGAAAACCGGCGTCAGTCCGCGGGAACGATTTGCCGAGCGTAGAGGAGCCGTGGTGGTGCCCGGTTCGAAAGTAAACGAGCTGCCGATTGAAAGCGACGATCTCATCATCCGCGCGTCGTCTCCGATAAAACACAATGTTGCACGGCCTTCGAACGCAGCCGGTGATCGAGTGATTCGCCCCGGGAGGAATTCCTGTTTCGACGAGGATCACATGGGAACGGTGCGACGGTGCGTCCCGAACTGAGAACGATTGCGAGCTGCTTTCGTCGACGTGAAACATGCTACAGCTGCATTGGGATCGAAGAATTGAGATTTGCTAGTGCCAGAGTTGAAACGTAAAGAGAGACGAGAACTTTGAGATACTGACTGATAGTTCGGTTGCTCGACGCGAAGATACTTGGGGTAGTGGAATCAACGATTTTGCGAGGGGTATTTTTCTGTAGCTCTGAAGTCGAAATTCAGCAGACAAAGCAACCTAACGATTCTCTTAATTTTAAATAAGCTCAGAAGTACCGTTTCCATGGGCACAGAAAATAACCACTAAAGATTAACTGTATTAATCGGATTAGATAACTGAAAAGTGACTGCAAGATTCCTTAAGGAACATCCATGGTTTCAATACCGAGCTCTAAGACACTAAGATAAAACACTCGTAAACAATTCAAATCCCGGAACTACCATTCTCGCATCAGTACATTCAAAGCTTAACCTTAAATCTCAAAATAAACACTCCAACCTCTTCTGCAATTTCAAAACCATTGTCCAGTGCACGTAGAGGAGAACCCAGATCGTCGAATAAAAATTCGAAAAGTACAATTGTCACGAAGACAGCGTGTAACCAAATCAAGGGGACACGATTAAAGTCGGCTGTGGCTGAGAAGATTCGTGAGAAGCCCGCTGGCGGAAACGAGCCGCGTCCGGCCGCCATTAAGCCGCGCGAAGGGACAAGAAGAGTGGTTCTGCATGAGCCCTGAGGAAATCCTCGGCCTGTGCAACAGGAAGAACGCGATTTTCGTTGTTCTCGGAGCAGTGGCGCTGTACGTGCACCTATCAGCGGCGGGCCACGGGATCGAGCCGGATCATCCGGACGCGGTGGAGGATAGCGAGATCCCCTGGTGTATCGGGGACGAAGAGCTGTCCGTGTTTCGATCGCGCTGCAACGATGTGGAAAATATTGTGTCCGCTCTTGCTGATGCTTTTCACGTTTAACTACTCGTCGCGCGATAGGTTCGTTCAGGCCGAGCCGATCCGGACGAGCGGCGGTCTCGTTCCCCGGGACGATGATCAGAATCATCGGGTAAGAAAGAGAAATTTTGCGGATTACATTAGAACGCAGCTGGGAAAACGCTACGCCATAACCGCGCGATCGGCCGATCTCACGTTCTGGGTTAATTCGGTACATTAATCGCACGCCCGTAATTCCGTACCGCGCGCGGGGAGAATGATAATAGATATTAAAGCCTTTATTGCCCGCGTTAACCTTAGAAACGCCGAGCCTACGAGTTACTTTTACGCGCGACCGTTTATTCCTGGCGCTTTTTCTCGGGAGAAGTAATATCTTTATTGGCGCGGAGAAAGTTCTGTAGGTTTGAAGATGTAAGCGACGATGGAACGGGTTTTTTTTTCATAATGTTATTTTTTAGGAATATTGACATTGGTGATGTCGATAGGAAAAGCAAATAGTATTCGATTAACGCATTCGTGACTGCTAATGTGAATTCACATGTTTTCGAATAGAATAACTGTCGAACAATAGATGGTTACGAGACTAATATTTCGAAACAAATTTTCGAATTTTTGTCCCTGTTTTACCAACAGAAATTTGCGGCAATTCGTTTAACGCGCTTTAATGCAACTCTTTCTCCCCTTGAGTTTATTGTTCTTTTTACAACATAATTAATTTTCTAACAAAAAAGGATGTTTGTATTTGATAAATATAATAAAAAAAGAAATAATAAAGAAATATATATGGAAATTTTTGCGAATGCATTATATGGGCAACTATCGCTGTTAAGGAGTTAAGGTTTTCTTCATTTTTATCGGCAATGAATGTTAAAAAAATGACAAATTTGCCAGTTGCGAATGTGTTAACATTAGAATCACCGCGCCCGTCGGAACGGCGGATTTCAGGTTTTTTATTTTGCAATTATTGACATCCAGAAAGTGTTAAGTATACGAAATAATTTTGAAAATAAATTGGTTCACTTGAGTACTATAATGAACATATGAAGATTGGAATGAAATTTAAAATGTTTAAAATAACTTGTATTTTTGCATAGAGCTAACTTGCAAATTAGTTTATGGAAATTCGAATTAAACGGTTCGTTTCGTTAATTATGAATCTTGGGAAGCGATTATACTGGCGGATAGACGTTTGCGTAAAGTGGAATGTTTGTACTACTTTATTTTAGTTTTCTTTATTTAGATTCTGATTTCTATGGGTTGATTCATCTAACTAGGAGTTTAATATCAAGTTATCTCGACTGTTGAGGGTTTTGTCTGATGGAAATAATATAAAAACCGTTGTAAACGCGAATGAGTTTAATTGTTTCGATGTGTTTTCTACGTTAATGAATGCTATAAAATCCGCTGTCTAATAGTCACTTGCCAGTACGAAAGTTTTGTAATCCTTTAATGAGGCACTTTGTAATTACTACACCGGAAACTTTCAAAATTCAATAAAATGAGATTTTCAACGAGGATTCAAGTAAATTATTATTTTACTTTTGTCCCCTCGAGATCCTTAATGAAATTTCAATTTATTTCCTATTTTCATGGAGCAATAGTTAAAGATGAATATATTTTTATTTGCATAATTATCCGCAGTCCATTAATCTGGTGCAAAGTTGGCGTGAAGTACATTTTTCAGGATGAGCAAATCCGGTTTGCGTCACAAGTTTCGTAAGCAATCAATCTTTTGTCAGAAAAAGTTTTCCTCCGAAACAACTGTTACGTATAAAATTATATACGCGATTTGAATAATTTATTCGAAAATCAAAATGGAAATATCTTATTCTTTTTGTGAGATTCATGATCACAGCTAGCGATATACGTTACAAAAACAACGAAAATATCAGGAGGTGATATAGAAATATATAAATATCACCAAAGAAATCTTACAGTATATAAGTCAATATTTCATCAAAAACGTCAATAAATTATCTGCAGTTTGTAACTAAAATTGTAAATGTAACTTTCTCGTGGCGCCGAGCTTGTTAATATGTGGGAAACAGAAATTCTTCTAGTTTCCTTTACGAGTCCTCAACGTTACCGCATCATCTAAAATGGCGGCTGTGTGAACGTTTTAGTGAAAACGAAGACTTCAAATTATATCTTTATTGTAATCGATCCCCTAGCCTTTTGAGCTGTTATAATATTCATGATAATGTAAATTGCATTGTTTTCGAATGTACAATGAAATAAGATACCGCAGGATCTCTTTGGTAAAAGGTGGCCAATTAACAATTAATTTTGTGCTAGCAAAAGATAAGCAATCAACGAGTGCAAATCCATCCCTTCTGAATTTTCATTATAAAGTTTCGGTGAATCGTTACAGGCTGACAAACCGAATCTGAAACTACTGTCTTAGAGATCAAGACTCGAATCTCGTTGGGAACGTTTCTTGTTTTTACATAACTCTTTCTTTTATGCGACTTCCTGTTACGTTGTATGGTACACTTAATTAAATGTTATAATCAGGCTGCGGATGTTTATGTAAATTCACATTTTTAGAGGAGAACTACCAAGAATAGATATCCCACTGAAAAATGTTTCCCTTATTAAGAACTTCGACAAATCCAAAAATATATAGCTGAAGTATCTTATTGAATTATTATGTCCTTCTGATGAAATCATTAACCTATCACACATTTAGACTATTTGCTGCTGTTCTGTGACATACGTCATATTGTATTAAATAAGAACTTGGAGAAACCATTTGAAATTCGATGCATATGGTCGAGAGATAAAATATATTAATTATTCGTATGTATAATATTTATATATTCTTATTTTTTACTAATATATTTTATAAATTCTTAACTTACCTAAAACAGTTGAAAATAATTTTTTCTCATATGGAAATCAGAGGGGAATCGAGCAATCGAAACATACATTAAAATATTTAAATTGCAAATTTAAATGAAATTTTAATTTAAAATCAACCTAACAATATATCGGAAATGAAACTGCTGGATTTTGTTATATAAATAGATTACTTTCGTCATTCCACGCAGAAAGAATAGATATCATCATCGAAAATAAAATATTTCACTTGATTGCACGATTGCATCGAAATAGTTTCTCCGATATTCGATTCTTCAAATGTTCCTTTCGACTCTAAAAATTTTCTCAGTTTCAACATTTCAAAAAGATATTATTTTAAAAATTCAATAATTATAATCTGTAATAAGTGACTATGGCTACAAAATTTGTATCAATTTTATACTCTAAGAACTCAACGAAAGTTTTCATTCTTCATTAATTAATCTTCTGAATATTCGTATATTTAAGTGTACCATAATGCTTGTATCAATATAAATTACAATGATTATATTTCTAACAGAATATATTACATCATTGGCTTTTAACTTCTAGTCTTAGATAAAATTATCATTAATTAACAGCGAAAATGTAATATCACTTTTACTTTCAATTTTTGTTCTATCTTTCAATTGTTACCTAATTTCTGAAAACAACCGAATCCATGAAAGTATGAAGTTACATAAACACCTGCAAATTAAGCTCTAGTCATTTTTCCTTTGTTTCTACTTGTTTAATAGTATTTATATCTACATGTTATACGTATATCACATCTGCATTTAAACTAATTTCAATTTTACAGTAGCCGATAAAGATTGTTAAATTATATTAAACAGTTTCACAAATTTCAAATTAATAGATTTTAAAGTTCCAAATTTCATTCATCCGTTACTGTTAATCTTTCATTCTCCAGGAACTATTTTGTACCTAACCATCTATATTCTCTTTTTTTTAATGAAGAGGAAACTTTCGTTTGCACCAAACATAAGAAATATTGATTTTCGTTAATAAGGCCGGAAGAAGCGCTAACATATCGAGTCGAAGGGGTGAACGTCTTCGCTACGAAAGTGGACGACGTTCTTTTAACCGGTCGCAATTTTTACCTGTCTTTTATTTTTCTTTTCGTGGTAACAGGTACACGTTGTGAAATGTTCGGGACATTTCACCGTCATATTCGCACGTTCGACGAGCGTTCGCGAGCAAAAGCGTCAAATAATAACACGTTGCCGCGAAACAAACGAAGCAGCCAATTCGTACACGTTTTTACGATCAAATTGGTGCTTACTAAATTAGGAATAAAGAAACATAGATTAGTTCTTTATTTATATTACAATGAAACTTTAACAATCCGAAAATTTCGATTTAAAAAATATTTAAAACATGTAACTTCGTGGTAGACCTCGATAGAAATGTTGAACAATTCGTTTTTCTGCTACGTTTCCGTTCTTAAGGGTGAAAATATCCCTTATGTGTTAACCCTTTGCACTCGAAAGTTTTTCACTAGAAATATTCAACATTTTCCAGTGAGACATTGACGATATTCTTTCAAACTGATTAACGAGGAAACGTACAGAAATTACGAAGCAAAGCTATTTCAATATTTCACATATTGATGCACTAATACAAAGCTTAACGTTATGCTTATATAAAACTTTATAATTTTAGTAAGTCAAATTAAATGGTGACTGAGAATCACCTTTCGTCTACAAAGGGTGAATTTGCATTCTCTTTTTCTTATGTAGCTTGTAAACACTATCATGAAGAATCTATCGAAAATAAGATGAAACGAAAACGAAAAAAGAAATTGGAATACAGATGAAAATGAAATTCTTAGTTGTCCATTCTTTTGCGAATCAACGAAGTTTCTCTGTTTTCGAGAATTTGTCAAAGCATCAAGAATGTGAACACATTGAAAAAACTTGCACCGTGTTAACTGATACCTCTAAAACATTTCTGACAGCTAAAAATGTCAAAATACGCATCGAGGTCACCGCGGTGGAAAAAAAAACCACCGCACGGTAACAGGTAAACTGTAAGAGAAAGAGAAAGCTGCTACTGCGCACGGAAAATTCGAGACTTTGCAAACTCTTTGTTGCACATATCGCGGACTTCTTCAATAAGGTTTTATTAAAAAGAAACAAGTTCGTGTGACAATAATGACTATTAAACAAATATTTGATAATACTGTTAATATTAATAAATACGGTGAAAGATTCTAGTGTCTTCTAACGACCCCCGTAACCAAGTCGGTCAATATGGCGACCGATGGAAACTCCAACCATTAGTACGCTTAACAACGATCATTAATCACGTTATTGAACTAGGCATCTCTGTGCAATCACGTTTCTTTGAAGCTATTTACAAATACTAGTGTTAAAGAAAATCCTGCCTTCTTTGCAAGATTTCAAGAATTTTTATTATGCAAATACTTAAATTATGAAGGAGCTTTTGTGAAAGGTTTTCAATTAAATTTGTGTATTTGGGAAAATATTCTAATCTCAAGACATGTATTGTCCTAATTTTTATAGAAAATTTTAAAAAAGTCACTCTAATTGCTCGGTACTTTTAATGTCGAGTACTATTCTGACTTTATCTAGTTTTATAAATTGCAAAATGTGTGTGTGTGCGTGTGCGTGTGTGTGTGTGTGTGACTCTAGAGAAATTTAAAGGGACTGAATCAAAATAGAATGTTATGTCTTTCACGAATATATTAAACAAATTAGAAACATGGAGGAGTACTTATATAGTATTATTCGATTATAAATGCATAAATTTGGTAAGCTAGTCAATTATCACTGGATTTGGATGGTTAATCGTTTATTTGCTATCTGTCGTTCGTGCTTTATTCGTGACTGCGCTAATTGCATCTGGCCAATTGCACTTTCCACTTTTGTAGTCACTGAACTTTGCCTAAGCTTCGCGTTCACACGCATCGTTTGTAGTTTAGAGACTAATTGAATTTTAATGAAAGACACTTTCGTCTTTAAACGTCTGGCAAAATACGGTTCACTCATGAATAACCACGACGATATGGAATCCACAACGGATGCAGCAAGTGATGCAGGAACGCGTAGAACGCAGCATTTTATATTCTGTTGCACGTTTATAAACATTTATGAAATATTCTTCTCACGCCACGAATCATCTCGCCCGATCGGGGGAAAGTTTCGTAATTGAAGATACAACTGCGGATTTTAATCGGAATTAGCGCATCGTGTAATCCGCGCTTTCGTAAAGTTTTAGAAAATCTTATTTATAAGTTGATCGTCGAGGAATTTATCATCTAATCATCAAAGCAATACAGAGCGTTCTCGCTTTAACGGAATTATCTCGCGATTCTTTTATTTACATAATTCCTCTAACAGAATTAAATCAATTCTTGATTATCCCGTTAAAGAAGCAATAGGATTTTGTTTCTTCCGAGAAACCGCTTAATTAAATTTTACTTCGAAACATATTATTGCTGTTGGGATATATTATAATATATTAAGCATTCGTCTCTGAATTTCGAGTAAATGTTGTTCTTTATAATTTGATGTCAACCTTCATTTGCAACAGCGGACTGTCTCTAAGGAATATTGAGTTTGACGCAATATTGCGTCATCTGTCCTTAAAGTATTTAGAGAAGAAATCGCAAATAGAAATATAAAAATTGTTGTGGAATTATTCTTATCATCACTGCACGTTTTTATTAAGTGTCTGTATGTAACTGTAACTATAAAACTAGCCATCGATAAAACTAAAACTGGATTTAATATTTGTATATTACTGCTTTTATTTATTACGTATTTATTAAAATCAAACTATTTCTAGGAGGAAATTCGGAAGCGAACAGAAGTCAAGAACGACCCCCCACGATTCTCGATCTACGATGACGAAAATTCAAGCGAGCGGCTAGGAAGTTGGCGGAAAAATGGCGGGGCTATAGAGCCAAAATGGAGGGACGGCGACACGGTTCCGTTGCTTCCATTTTCTCAACTACCGCGCTACTCCGAGGACAAACTGGAAAACAGCGAAGAGGATTCCATTCAGCAAGGCTCAAAGTACAAAAATAATAGAGGAAAAGATCCTCCATTTTCACGGAACCATGAACGAATCCCACACACCGACTATAGAGATTACGAATCGATTGACGGGAAATACGGAAACAGGAAAGAGGAAGTCCTGCCGCGACGAAGAAACAATCGACCAGTGAATACATTGAATCCCCAAGAAGCAAGCAATAGGAAGAAGACAGAACCCGAAGACCTAACAGAATATAGAGAGCTAACTTCGACGAAGTACCGAGAAGCCTTCCAAGTGCGTCCAAACGATTACGAGCACGAGTTCGATGACGAGGAATACTTAAAGCCAAGACCAAGAAAAAGGCGACCTCCTCAAAACTACGAGTTTGCCCTAGCAGAGAACGAGACCTCGAGAACGGAAGCTACCGGATCCTGGTCTCGGCTAGGCGCCCAACCAGTTTCCCCGGAATCGGAATCCAGGCACCAGTTCGTGCAGAATGCGATGGAGTTGAAGTCCTTGCTGAAGATGCAGCAGGAAGAGGGTTTGAGCTTGTCGGAACTGTTACAGAGGAGGAACCTAACACTGAATGATCTTCTTAAAGGCAGAGCTGACGCGATCAACGCTCTTAAATCGAAAGATCTCGACACCGACGACTACGTTGATGAGACGACAACCGTAGCGCCAGTCGCTAAGCCGACCACAAAAAGGCCGCTGCAGGCCAGCACGGAATCCGTTAGACTGAAGAGTTCATCGAAAGACGGAGTAATCTCGATCATGCCGGTAATGGTCGATCTACATGAAAACACGACCGGTTCGAAGTATTCGAGTAGGACACGTTCAGGACAATCAACGACCGGAAAATCGTTGAGCACGGAACCCCCGCGGGCTAAGGGAACGCCTGCGGCGGCCATTCCAGCCTCGGTTACGACATCGATGCCGTTCCCCGTTGCGACCAATTCCATGGAATTGATGCGAACCGACGAGACCACTGGGAAACTGCAAATCAACGGTGGGGTCAAGACTGATGGGTTGGATGAGGACGAGATTATGGAATTCTCCGATTTCCCTGATTACAAGAACGGCCGAAACGCGATGTCCCCGATGTGGCTGACGGTAAAGGACAACAACGGCGAATCGCCGGAACTAGTTCGGGAAAGTTACGAAGACAGAGGATCGACGTTAAGCATCGAGCAACTCCTGAACCCTACGGAGCGTTCGAAGGCACCCTTGGAAGATGAAAAAAAGGTAAACATGGAAGACGATGTGACCGCCCGACAGCCTGAAAGAGAGGATTATAATATGTACATGGAGCACGAGTACCAGGACGATGCATCGGCGGTTTATCAGGATCACAGTATCGAAGTTACGACTTCCACTGATGTGGTTGATCAAGGCAAAACCATGATGGAGAAGATAGAGTCTGTGCTGGATTCGTTGTCTGGCGAGAATTTAACGAAGAATCACGACACGGTTTCTATAGAAGCTGATCACACATTCAACAGTCATCAGGATGTGAATGCTACCGCGAAGAAGAGCTACGAAGACGTTATATCCGAAGTGGAGCCAGAGGCAAGGGCAGAGATCTTCGAGTTGTTTGCATCTGGGTCCGCAGGTAAACGATTGGAGAGACTGCTAAAGTCTAGGAACATGAGTCTGGAAGAATTAATCGCGCTGAGGCAGAGAGGCTCTAGCAAGGTTCACTTGGCTGAAGTGTCGCGGATCAAAGTGCAGAAGTTGAACGACGAAGGCAAAGACGGAAAGAACTCGGAATCAACGACTTTGTCGTTTAAAGAAACTGGTGCTGGGGAAGCAAGAGAAATTGACAATAGCTATGATAAGAGAATCAATGACTACATGACAGGGTCCTATGGAAACGCAACTAACTCGGAGTCCAATCCGGTGAATTATATTCAGCAGGAAGAAATCACTACTACACAAACGTTCTCCAACACTGCAACCCCAATGGTCAAAGATGAAGTTACCTCTGACGAGAAAGAGAAGATAGGAGAGCGTCGTGCAGTGCAAATCATCGATTTGTTGACAACCTTCGACTCACTGCCGTTCGCGAAGGACATTCAGAGAAGCTTCGCTAGTGAATTCAATAAGGAAGAGAAGAGATTCCCTGAAAATAGTAACGATCTTGGTGTGGTATTTATAAATAATCAAGTAACTGGTGGAGTTAATGATACTACGAATATGATTCAATCCGGGTTCGTAAAAGAGGTTGTGAAACAGGAACCAAATTCCATTGATATTCGAACGGTCTACACTGAAACGGACGTTTTCAGTGAAGACGAGGACAAGAATGAGAAGGGAAAAACTCTGTCGAAAATAAGACCGAGCATAATAGCGAGTGGAGCGATTCTTGGTGTGACTATCGTCGTTTTCTTGGCCATATTTATTATATGCAGGATCAAACAAAAGCAGAAGTACAGATACAGGAACACCTTCTCCAGAGCTGTGTTTCAAGGACCTATGTTGGCTGCGAGAAAACTATCGAATTCGAGCAGTCTGAGCACAGTCATGGTGAACGTAGTTGCCACCTCGACAACCAAGAGGCCAGAGAAAAGCGATACCATACAACATACTGGGGAAATGGATTCTAAAAGTGATATCGACAATGACTCTTTGGATGCCAACGATAGTTGGGAAACCATACCTGATTACATGAAATAATAATTCAAAGAATTTGTTTTGAAACCTTGGTACATAACAGTATTCTCGCAATCAAGTGAAATTCAATTTTTCACGTGTATAGAAACCATTTCCAAAGTGAAAGATAGATTCATAGATTGATCACTGCATTATTGACTGCGATGTATCTACTAGAGCCAGGAGTAACTGCTTGCCCAGTTACAAATTGTACATATGATTGTATAGAGTTTCAAAACCACTTTAAACAGTTAAAGTTAATGTAATTTAGAATGGTAGGATTAGTACGTTATTCTTATTACGTTATATCAAAAACATTTCCTGATATTGTAAACTTATTCGTTCAAATTTATATACAATAAAACATATTTATTTATATCCAGAAGAATCTGGGACCATTACCTTACAATCTAAATAAAGAGAATTATTTTTACTACTTACCAGTATCTTTCGTAGGTAAAAACATCCCTGAGTATAGCAGACACAGCATTATTGTTACTTTGAAATACTTTAGTAAAATAGGAATACTGTCTTGCAATATTTCTACATTGCTTTAAAGCAATCTCTATAGGAAAAAGGAAAAAACAACCATGAATTAAATCAGTTTATATTTCCAGTAAGTAAATTTCAAATCGATGATTCTGGATTAATTTGTAAAATAAACATGTACCTAATGTAGGGCTGCCTTTAAGTTCAATCATCTCTGCAGCAGTCATGTACAACACTGTGGTATAGCTCGTAGGAAGAATATCTAAATAAGGTTTCCATTTAGAGTTCTCTTTATGTCTTTCAATCAAAAGTGCAATTGCCAAAGCCACCTGTGGCATATGCTGTATTAATGGGTCATTTTGGAGACAAGCTAATTCTGGCGCCACATTGTGAATACTGAAAGTAAGCTCCCTTGGTATACTTAAAATCAACTCATTCTCAAGGAAGTTACGTTCCGCTTTTAAGCCCAAATCATATCCCGGAAACTCAGCCACGCTTGCTCCATCAAAACTAGCTTCATTCTCTTTGAGCCAACTTATGAATTGTCCAATACCATGGGACCGTTTTAATGACTCTGTCTTCATTTCCTCCAACCTTTTAACCTTCTCCAAAACTGATGATATTTCTATATAGTTGTCCCATAGTTGTGTCACATAAGCTAAATTACTGCTAACTGATAAAATATAAAAACAAATTATTACTTGGGTCTATTCCAGTAAGTTCCTTAGATGAGAGAGTTTAGCAGAAAGTTAAACAAACTTCATATATTTTACATTTCAGATTTTAAGGTTCATGAAATTATTCTCAACACACATATAAAACTGATTTGTTTATTATTGAATGACTTTGATACAATTTCTGCTTATGTTTCATTCAACATTTTACTGTCCTTTCTGAGGCATCATGGTACAAGCAGAAGGATGCTAACCGAATAACGTGGAATACTCAAAAATATATTCACAAAAAAATATACTTACGATGAAACAGCTTTTCACACAAGGCATTTATTTTATTTCTTTTTGATGAAGATAATTGCCTTTGATTTGGAACGTGTTTACTTTTAGATGATCCGTGAGATTTTCTTCTGCCCATGTTTGTACTATCTCACGGCACTTTCGTGACTTCTTCTCACATTTAGATGCATTATAATGTGTGACGCGTTTCTACGGCTAGCAAGAATAAACACTTCGCCGAAACAAAAATAGAACGTTTGACGCTCTGCGCTTTCTGTGTCTCGACCGACATAACCTCGAAATGGCAGAGTGGAGCTACCTTCCTTCCCTGTATACTATTGACTCCACTGCACTTTATTGATTTTCAATTTCTATCAGGGGTCACCTACTTTCACAATTACGCTAGACCTCTTGTCAAAATCATTTTTCATCAACCTTTCCTTTCATCCGCTCGAGATACACAGATTCGTGATCCTTTATTAAATTTGAAAATGTGTATCATTAAATTTCATTGTTATCTATTTCATTAATGTAACAAGGGATAATGTTTATTCGATGATTGAAGGTCGACTTTGGCGCGACATGAGATAACATTTTGAAAATATGTACAAGTTTGTGTACGTATATCTACAAATTTAATTATCTCTCGTAACTTTTTACATTCCTTGGAAATTACTTCGTGTGTACTAAGAATAAAATGTACAAACGTTTAATGAAACAAATGTTTCTTTTGTTTAAAAGCTATATTATACAAAGTAATAAACAGATGATTGATATATTTTAATATTTTTTTAAAGAATAGATTTGTATTGCTTTTATAGTTTATTTATAAAGTTACATTAAAGGGGGTCTAAAAGATAAAGCAGTTGCAAAATAGCTAGAAATATAAGATAAAAATTTAAGATTCATAATTTCTTATATAAAGACACATATACGCGAAAGAAATTTATAATAAAAGATATTAATCTAAATGTGTGTTGCATGTTAAGAGTAACAAAACTGTTAAATTGTATGACTAAAATTGTTAAGAAATTGGTGATTATTGAGAACTAAGAAAAGGAAGAAGTCAGAATAAAGAATCAAAAATTTGTTAAGTGCAACAAAGTAAAATTAATAATGAACAATATGAAATAAAGAAAATTAAAAAACATGAAAATTTGGAGATAGATTAAAAGATAATTTTTAATAGTATTTTCAGTAGTTATTTAACATTTATTACTTTAATATAAAAGTATTTGTAATATTTATATCAAGGCAAAAAGCCATGAAAATGTATTATTTAACCTTAGGATTAATTCAATAGTATTCACAGCTCATTTAATATTTTTTTCATACATTCAACGTGTTAACTAGAATAGTGCATTTATAGATCCCCTTTAATGTTTATAAATTATACAATTTGTGTACAACTAAAAATAGTATAATAAAACAATTATTTGAATTTTCACGCTGCAAAGTGAAATAACTAATTGTAAAATCTTTTTGCAAAAGCTAACGAATTAGAAGTTGCGCCAAAAATACGACGTTATTAAACATAACAAATTGGCACAACAATTAATCTGATATAAGTGGAAATTAAATTCACTTACACATAGTACGACTTGTAGAATAATTTTCATTAGATTATTTAAAAGTTAGATGTGCGACATAAACTTAAAGTTCCTAATATTCTTTTTATGCTCATTCTTTCAGAATAAAATCAAATTTTCTATTATATTATACATTATTCCTGAAAAATGAAATAAAAGGAAGGAAGGGAAAAAATAATTATAATATTTGAAAAAGAATTTAAAACCCCTGATTAGGGAATTTATGATAATTACGTAGTTTGTACTCAATATAGATAAACCACTACATTTTTTATAATAATATATTTGATTATGAATTGTGCAGAATTGTAAGTATGTTACATATTCTACAACGTTACCCATAAACTTTTTTATAACTTCTTTGCAGCGGAAAACTCGTATCTTAAATATTAAAGATACACATATAGTTATAGTAATATATACCGTTATTTATACAGCCTAACCTCTAAGTAGAGCCTTATAGACCACATGATTTCGTTCCTTCTTTCACTGCTACCTCAATAGAATTTTATCGAAGTCCGTTGTATGTCACGAAATAAAAAAGTATAATTTACCTCGACACAACGCCTTACTTTCAATAGTTCTACATACTTGTAAAAACCGAAAACTGCATACTTCATTTTTCAATCCCCTTTCAATAAATGTGCGCGACGCTTTCGTATCTTAATTTCATACAGTAATAATGATAAACATGTACATTCCTCATTTTTTTCAAATTTGAACATGTCACTTCACGTAGATGATACGCATTACAATATATCAAATAATCTGATGACCGTATATGAAAGGAGCATCATATATAATAATCTACAAAATTTAAGACTTTCTTTGTTCAAACGATTTACACAAGGATACCAGCCTCTCATGGAATTTTGCTTTGTAGCCAAAACCGTACGCGATGCACTTATGGTCCCCTGTTTTTATCACTAAAAACTTGAACGAAAACAGTATTTGCAATTACCGTAGAGTGTAATCAGTACACTATTTAAGGGGAATTGTTGAAGACTACAAAACACATAATACATAAATATTAAATTACTTTTTGTCCCGATTCACTATTACTGGAATAAGTTGTGCAGACACTGTGTAGTCAAATTCACAAAAACTTCTAATTTTCTTGTGTCAGGTTATTTTCTTCTCTTTGTAGCATGTGTATTTATACAATTCTATTTAATCCCCGTTTCTATTGTGTAGCAGTATCTGAAATGCTTTGCCGCCACGTTGCGTGGAAAGGAATTTTTAAGATTTTAACACGTGTTTTGGGCAATGCAGTTAATAAGAGTTTTTGAAGTTGTGGTAACGGTAATATATCCACTTGCGGATTTGTTAAGTTTGGTTGTTTATCATCACCTGAAAAATAGAATTATACATATATTATATAGATACATATGTAAAATAATTTGTACATGTGTATACATATTTTTGGAAAGTACCTTTTTGATTGTCATTTTCATCTTCTACATCTTCAATTAATTTTAAACAGGGCACTGGTTTTAAAACTGGTATTGAATCACCAGTAACTTGCTTACTCATCAAATTACACTGATCAACAAATAATTCGGTAACCCTAAGTAACTCGAGCGTAACGCCCCATACAAAATGTGTCAAATTATTCGACAATTCAGTAACACCGCCAAGCACCATGTTGTTAGACGTTGCGGACTGAGATATGTAGGTTGGTATAATTAATAGCCTTTTAATATTTTTACAATTTGCAAGACATTTGTCGAAGCCGTTTTTCACATCGAAATTGACCAATTCCATTTGACTTAAATTTTGTAATTTAGATACACCCTCTAAAATATCAAATGTGCAACACGAACCTTGCCCTTTTTCAAGCCTAAGGCGCTCCAATTTCTGTAGTTTTATTAAAACGGTGGTACCAAATTTATCTGGAAAGTCGGAACACTCTCCTAATTCCAATGTTTCCAAATTCGGTAAATTCTGTATAATATCGATTTTTTTCTTTCCAAGTTCTTTAACAGACGTTAAACTCTGTAATACACATTAAATTTAAATATGGAGAAATATAATACGATAATTGATGAAAAAGAAAAAAATTTTAACGTATCTATTTCACTTACAAGTTGCGTTAAATGCGTTAACTCTTGTAAAGGCGTGAGATCTTCTTGTAGAGACATTCCGCTTATTGCCTTCAGCCTCAACTCTTGGCAACGTTTAAGATTTCCAACTGACTCCAAATTTAAGGTATCGCATTTTATTGACATTGCACTCAATACCTCCAACTGGGGACAGCTACTTATAACTTCTTCCACTACCATCACAGGACATCTACACAATTCTAGTTTGACGAGACTAGTTACACGTGGTATAACTATCAAAAACTTTTTCCAAATGCTATCGGATTCGCCCGCTACAAGCATTTTTCGTAGATCTAAATGTTGAGTACCACGCCTTTGCAACGTATCTGCTAAACCATCCCAATCTGTTACTTGACTATTTTTCATTCGCACAGTTTTCCACAATGAAGGATGTGCAGCTAAGTCCCTCCACATTTTACACACCCTAGCAGCTCGAAGTAATTCTTGAACCTTAAGATACTGGAATATACGTAGTAACGCATGATATCCAGCACAGACCGAATCCATAAAATGTTGTTGCTGTTCTGTTTCCTGTTGGTTTTGCTTCCTTCTGCAAATATTAAGATAAACTTATTGTTAAACACCTTTCTCTTAAAGCTAAATCGCCTAAAAACTATTCACTAAGGGTATCGTTCGTCATATACGAAACATTGGTTATGATTTTCTAAAATAAAAGAATGACTGTACATTACTATCAAAATTATTCACTATTTTCCTTAGTATTAAGCAGTGAATATCAATTTTTAAAGAGGCTTTTAAAGGACCAATGATTTACAACAAGGATGCCAACAATCTTATACCATATCGAATATGAAATACAAGTAAAAGCCTCTGAAAAAAGTTTTAAACGTTGAAAACTCGACGTGGAATAAAATAAAATGAAGGTATAGAAACGAAAAAGCAAACGTAAACAGGAGGTTTAAATAATGAGGAATAAGGACTGTAGGATGTTTGTGGGAAAACGCACTAAGAGTTTTTTTTTGTGTTTCAGCTCGCACATGTCTTTATATCTGTAAATATAAAAAGTAAAAATGAATTAGATTTTTTCCACTGAAGCACTTATCAGTAGCTGTATCAGTAATTGTAGCATGAATGTAATAAATATATTAAAAAATTAGCCAATTTTCTTCCCATTTTAAGAAACTTGAGTAAATCTACCGGATACAGGCTTTTACATTGATACTACAAGTACACAATACCTGCAAGAACCAACGATATGTGATTGTTTTGTTCATTTTTCACACGTCTCAAAAATTTGGCCGCATTTCTAAGAAGCTAAGGCAGTGTGCTTCGATCACAAGATAAAATCAAATTCATTTTCCACCTCGAACTTTTATATTTTCAAATATAATAAACATCAGTATATATTGCATTTACAATGGCATTCACGTAAATTTTGTATAAATCCTCTCTTAAATACTTAATACAACAAAACTATAAAGACATCCTAATGTAATGAAAGAAACATTAAAAAGAAAATCAACCGAATAATTACTACACGCTAATGATAATCAATTAATTATCACATAAATAGCACACGTATGTTGTAAATACAATATGTACAAAGCAACTGCCAAAACCTCAAAAGAGAGTTGCCTTAACTTGTCTGGAGAAAATGTTTAAAATAAGGAAGTAAAAAGAAATATGTTGGTGTGTTTGAGAAACAAACACTTACTTGCTACTTATTTTAATAGTACCCAAACTAGTTGTGACTGACTGAGACGAATCAATTTTATCATTGCTAATTGTATTTAAATTATTTACTAACGTCGTCCTGTCAGGAGATTTATTAGTTGTAACTAATTTCTCGGGTTCTACTGTATGATCTATCTTTAGATTAGATCTATCGTTTTCTGATTTATTTACACTTAACGTTTCTGTTTTATTACTGTTATTGCACGTTTCTTCTCTTTGTTCCTCCACAGTACATGCAGTGATTTCTGTACGTGTAATATCTTTTGATATATTCTTATCATTTAACTTATCGATATCCTTGCCTAATGAATTTGTCGAAGTACAGTGTGACCTTGCGGTCAATGAATTTTCAGCGGCGTTTGAAATATCGGTAAACGATCCATCCTGAAGTATTGGAGGTTTATCACCAATTTTATCAGGTTTCACTGTTATAGCTGGTTGAACAGCCATGGCATTATTTTTTGGTACAACAATGTATTTTTTGCCTCCCATCAGTGCAATATTTTGAGCTGGTTTCGGTAAAGTTCCATCGTGACTTTGTAAAAATTCATTTTCTGTCTGAGAATACCAACTGCTCTCTTTTTTTTCTGAATTTGAAGGAGAATATGTTGCTGAAGGAGGTACTTTCGTAACTTTAGTAACATTTCGTAACTGTGAATCTGCACTGTCGGATTTTGGGATTCTTTGCAATTTTGGTGGAGTTGAATTTGCTTGATGCTTCGTTTTCGCATTTTGCGTGCCTAACATACTAATCGGTATCAGTGGAGGAGGTGTCAAAGATGGATTTGTTTGAGATTGCTGAGATTCATTAGTATCCTGCTGACAGTTCTACAACAAAATCAATATATTTAAAGCTTATACTCTGTCAGTCGAGTTGCTGTTATTACTTAAATGTTTTTTACTCAATTTTATTAGCGTATATCTAATAGATAATGAATTCAAAACTCAAACGTAGTCTATGCATAAAATTAAATTTGAAGTTAAGCATCAAATTATTTTTAAAATTAAAAATATTTTGAACATTACAATGATAAATCGAAAAGACTGATTTGAACTCGTTATAGATAAGAATACTCTATAGTTATAAATGAAACATACCTTGCAAACGTAATCATCATTTCCCGCGAATTCCATACCATCAACACATTCAGGATGATATAAACACAGACACACGCTACATTGTAAGCTCGGTATCAACCCCATACTCGTTGAACATCTTATACTGCACGGTTCTTGAACTTTGGGCCTGTAAGATGTGCGTTGATTGGGGACAGGGATTAAGGAATGAAACACAAAATTTAAATAAGGGACATAAGGATTTAAAGGATAAAGGATATAGTTATGAAAAATATAGAAGGAAAAGTTTAAACTGCTTCAGAATAAAATCTCGAACTCTATAATTATGTATACTTATTATACAGCATGCATTTTTACAATTAATAAAATTAAATTTATTTCCTCAAATAATGCAAGATCTAATTGTTCACTTGTCTACTAAAGCATAATTTATGCATGAAATTATTAAAAGTGATTTTGTATAAATAAACATAGAACATATTATTTCACTAACAAAACAAAAGAAATATCTCTGTATCAATACAACTACTAGAAGATTGTGTATGTATGTATATATATATATAAACAAATGTGTATGTATTAATGATCTAGAATTGTACATAGACCTTTTCCTTTTTGAAACATTTTCTTTTTCTTAAAATATTTTCAGATTTTAATACTCAAAATTTCTGGATAGTAAATATAATGAATGCACATGCTGTAAATCCTTCATTGGACCTTTTTAAAGCATGTTAAACATGATTATTGATCATTAATAGTGATTATTAAGTATTAATCATGTTTAACTACTAAGCATTTCGGATACCCTCGAATATTGCAAATTAATCGCGATCGTACTATATAATAAATATTATGAAAAGTAAAATAGTCAAATACTCACGTTAGTTGTCTCTTGGGCTTAGGAGGTGGTGGTTTTTCTACTATTTGCTGACTTCTTCTTGTGCTTGTGGTTCTTTGAGGTGGAAGCATCTCGCTTTCTTCGGAAGATTTTATTTCTGCTATGCATATATAACACAGGTTTTTTAGCAAAATAATACTTTATATATCCAAAATTATATAAATAAAAAAATCCATTTATTCGGAGAAAAATTTAGTTAATTAATGTATCAATCTAATTTATTAAACAGTATTTTTAAAAAAATATTTTAGACAATAACTGTAAATAAACTACCCTACAATAATCATGCGACTAATCAAGAATACCCATTTATAAGTTTATAAATAAGTAAAGTAGTAAAACAGTAAAATGAAAAAACAGCAATTTCAAATTAATATAAATGCATACTTATTTGTGGAGTTCTCTTTCCAGGCACTTTGACTTTAAACCCTGTAGTTGGAGTTTTCGGTGATTTAGCTTTTGTGGGCACAGATACAGGAGCAGCCGGTGGTGGTTCTGCAGCCCTCCTTCCAGGTGTACTTTTCTTATATGCAAAGCTTTTTCTGGAAGGAGCTGTTCCCATAGATCCCTATTACAAAATAAAAATTATTAATCAATGAAAAATTATAATTTTTGTATGAACAATAAAATTACATACTCTCATTCTTTTTGCATCTCGAATAATTTCCTTCTCTGGATCATCAATGCCAATTGGTTCTTTGAAGAACGTAAAATTATCAATAGTTAACTCTTTCGTATTAACTGCAAAAATGAAATTAATATTGCTACACTTATTTTCTAATCATATATATTTTGAATAGATTATTATAAATCACACTTACGAAATTCTGCAACTTCTCTAAAACTTCTCACTTTCTTTCCCTTTGGTGTATAGTAGTAAATATCTGCCATTCTTTTGAGGGTTGAATCAGTACTTGCTCTAAATACTAATTCTCGCTTCCAACCATATTTGAAAGGTTCTTTGAATGCAGGATTTGTCATATCAACAGTCAGTTTTTGTTTTGCTGTACTTCCTGGACTAACCCCACGTGCCATACGACCTTTAGATTTCTGCGATGTTGCTGGACTACTAGTAGCAGATGAATTTGTAGACTTAATTGAAGCTTCTTCTGTTTTTTGTACTTCTGTTTCAGACTCCATAGTATTTGGTAAACCAATCGAATCCGTTTCAGATTTATCAGACTCCTTTTCCTTTTTTATCTTATCTATATCTAATATATGTTCCGAATCGTAACTATGCATCCTATTGTCATCTGAATCATCATCGTTCCTTCCATCAAAATTTTTTCTTGTACTATATCTAAACCGTTTTGCCAATTGAGCTTCTGCTACTTCAGCTTCAGCTGCAATAAATTACATAAACAATATCTTTTAAATTTGTAAAATTGCATTTATTAGATATTTCCATGAAGTGCGCATTCAAAACCATTAAATAGAATAAAAACCTTTTTTAGTACTTCAGAAATGAATTTTTCATGAAATGTAAAATAGAGATTTAATAACCAAACTCAAAATTAACAAGTTCTTAAAATAAATCACATTTCATACAAACTTACATAAATGTATTTTTTATAACATTTAGTAATATTTTGAACAAAATATATGTAAATTCAATAAGTGTAATAGTAGACAAAAATTCTGTTTACATCAAAATACCTTTGTCAAAATAAACCCTCATATGTATTTGATATTATACAAATCTACACAACTGGACAATACTTATCTTCAAATTATTCATGTTCTACAAAATCTATAAAATATGTAGAATAATTCTTCAAATTAAAGTATTCAATCATTGCTACTATGTTAATATTTTTCAAACCTATAGATTTTGTTATGTCAGTACATTTGTCCTATTGAATATGCGGTTGCATGTAACTTATCACGTATTTCATATAAATAAATATTTAATTGCCAAGATAAATGTATATTCTAATTATACTTCTATAATCTATTAAATTGATTAGTTTAGTATCTAATAAAATGACATTTATACCGGAAGCATTATATCAAAAGTGTATGATCCTTAATCTTAAGAGTTATTTCTTAATAACATTCAAATCCAATTTCTTTTAACTTAATTATCAATTAATGTATACAAACATAATCTCACAATATTTCTACTGAATAATGGAATGCTCTTCTTTGAAAATATAATGCTTAAAGAATATACTAAAGATATTATAATTCTCTGTGATAAAGATATGGTCTGCGCATAGGATATAGCATAACAACAATGACCAATACCAATTAGTTTTCTCAGAACGTGACTTCCTGTTTCCATTTCATTATCTCCCTGTACATCGAATCCATTGAATTCCATTGACTCCTCAGAGCTAACATCATCGGGTTCCGAAAGCTTCCGCTTGCGTCCTTTTGTACTTGTATCACTTTCAATGGTACTAGTTGAATTGGCTTTGAATTTTCGTAACTTTCTTCTAACAACCGGCGGCGGACTCTTTTTCGGTGAACTTTTAACGTCGCCGTTCACTTCTTGACAGTCCATTTTTATAGTTGATTCAACTTTAATTGGCATCTCTTCAAACTCCAGCATTTCAGTCATTTCTAGGTTAGAATTCTCGCGCACCTCATCGGCGTTCCCGCCATTCACGCTGGCCCCGTCCATCGTGAGGCCCTTTCGGGACCAAACCCTTATGCCGCGTGCTTTAACAAATGACGCGTGAAAAACGTTAATTTTACGTTACCCGACACTTCGTATAAACTCCATTCAACGTATCCTCGCATAAGCACCCGTTCTACAGTCCCCTTGCGTCTGAGTAGCACGATCCCGCGCTCATCTGTCCCCGAATGCGCATAACATACGCGCAGACACCACTACGCGCTATTTACACAACCGTCAGGTTTTCTCTCGATGGGATGGGTTTTGCTGCTTGTCATTACTATCATGCTACCACATCACACACGTATTTTGAAACGAACAAAAAAACTGTATAATAATGAAAATTACTTATCGCTCCATAAATGAGACTTAGATATAGCCTTCAACTTAAAAACGACAATAGCTTCAGAGAGACACGGAGCGTCTGTAAAACACACAACCGGAAATGGCCGAAAAAATATGCTAAAGGTGCGTTTACAAGAAGCATATATTTCAAAGTAAAGTATCACATGTAAACTTTTATGATCATGAAAATCAATGAATAGTGTTTTTCCTATATAATTATGCAAAATGATTCATTCGTATTGTAAAAATATTTCTAACCAGTTTATAATATTGGTATTTAACATATATAAATAAATAAAATTCTACAATACTGTATATCCTGAATCCTGATCTTATATGCATATATGCATCTTATGTATATGTATCTTAAGTTATGTTTCGTTCAATATAATATGTATTTTAATGTTTAACTATATTTTTCAAATTTGTGTTTCTATGAGGACGCTGTCTTTATACTACACAGGAGCAGCGGTTCTCAATTTGGGAATATACCTATGGTGGATTATTATAGTCGAACCATGACGAAATTACTGTGTGAGAATAAATGGGCACATACACACTCTACGCACTTGCATCTTCGATTTCACACACTAATCCGAAGTAAAGAAGCGGAGTACATCCGTGGCGCACAGTGAAAATAGTTTAGAATTGACAGTTTCATATTGTTCATTTTATTCTATTGTAATTGTTAATTGAAAAAACTATTAATTAATAATGACAGCTGTTTAAAAGAAAATTTAGATCTCACACGATTCCATATACAGGTAAATATAAAATTAATCCTTGTGTCTATCTTGTCATCTATTTGATATACGATGTATTTTGCGATTTTTTAAGAATGTCGTTTTGCTAATTAGTATTTTATACTAAGTAATTAACATTTAGAATTGTAATACTTTATTTTTTTCATTTATCGTGTATTAAAACTCATTATCAATTCTTACGCGGATAAACAAGATACACCCCAGATAGGCCCGTACTCACTTATTAAAAAAAGAGAGCGTTATAAAGTATTCTTATTAGTTCTTGAACTGTGTATATTCTATATTAAAATTAAATTATTGACGCTGCCTTTTTAATCGAAATTAACATATATAAAAATTAATAAACGTTATGTTATTTTGATTTAAATGAAATTAAATATGTTTATATCAAAATATCAACATGATTTTTTAATTAACATTTGTTATGTAATAAAGTTTTAGCGGTATCAGTATTATGCTTTGTCATTAGTATTATAAATACATATAAATGTAAAATATGTCATATTATAACAGTTCCAAGCGCATCCTTCAAATGGAGCGTGTTTTGAAAGCTGTACCAGCAGACTTAAGAGTAAAAATGGAGGCACTTGTGCATGATTTAACTTTGGCATTGGAAGAAAGCAGCAATGGTGTAAATGTCAGACGCCGTTGGGGTATCAGAAGGAGAGCTCGTTCGACAGGCAATATTCGTAAGTGTAAGGAACAAGAAATACGAGGAATATAATTTCTTTTTAGAGAAATATTTATTTAAGTATTTTGTAAGCTAAGACTTTATATAAATATACTTTAAATAAAAACTATCATCGAAATTCAATTCTTTTATGCTAATCAGATTTCCATAAAATCAGTTCCAGTCTATTTCTAGAAGACAAATAGTGGACTGTTATCAAGACTATCCTTATTAAAACCATACTTTAGTACACAAAGAAGTCATATTTTACATATCTCTGAAAAGTAATTTTGGAAACGTGAAAAATAGTAAAAAGGTTTTGAAAGTAATATTTAAGCAATTAATTTTTATTTCAGCATCACTGAATGTGAGCAAACACTCAGATGACAGTTCATCTTCAATTTGTGACATTCACACTCCAAAAAATAATGTTACATCTAAATATCAGTCGGACAGCGATGATACAAATCAGACAAAACGATTTGCACGTTTTTCAAATTTAAACAATGTTAGTAATATCGAAAGTGACTCTGTCAATGAAAATTTTGTACCGAGAGTAAATCCAAGGCGTAAAAGGAAATTTAAAAGAATGACTATAGATTCAGAGTGCAATCCATCAACATCTCAAACAGTTACAATTATGTCTACAACACTTGGAGATAAGAAAAGTATTCTTCGAGGGGGTTATGAAAATAGATATGGAACAGTATGGTAATGTATATCATAGTATATAAATATATAAAAGTAAAAGAAAAAAAATCTGCATATATAAGAAATTAACTATTTGGGGAACTTGTTTTCTATTGTAGGTGTGGAAAACGTAAAAGATCATGCAGGGAACGTTCAACAGATTGTGAAATGAGATCACTAAAACCAAACAGAACTACAAAATCAAAAAATCGTATTAAAATTCAAAGTGAGGATGCTATCGATTGTTCTAGAATATCAAGTTCAAGCATCTCATCAAGTGATTCGGAAGCTGGTTTGATCACAAATGATGAAGATCGAGAAGGTATTAAATTAGATTTTAAAAAATTAGGCACTATAATTAATTAATTCGTTTATCATTAGGAGATGATGAACAGTCAGATTGGAATGGGGAATCTAGTTGGTGGGATGATGGTGACAGTGCTAATGAAGATAAAATTGCTACAGATATAGCTTTTCAAATGCTGTTACATGGAAATTTTGACCATGCAACAGATAAAGGAAGAAAAAGTTACAGACAAAGGATTCAAAGAATTCGAGAGGGTCTCACTGGAAGAGAGATTCGCGCTGGTCGCCGTCATGTTGATAATAAGCCTGGATATTCAATTATTACATCGGCCAATGAAAAAGTGTCTAGGTTTTTACAGGATCCAACCCAAAATGAGCTTAAATTACATCCAATGCGTCAACCGGAACGAGAAAAACTTCGTAGACTGGCAAACTTATATAGTTTAAGTTTAAAAGGAGATTTAGGATGCCCAATTCTGTATAAAACTCGACACACTACACAAGCCATCTGCATAGATCAAATCCCATTAAAACGATTTTCAGATTACAAAAGATTAAGAAGAACTCCACCAAATACACCAAATCAAGAACCAGTTATACATAATCAAGAATATCAGATTTGTTCAACGAGCTTCGGGTCACAAGTAATAACTCCTACATCAAACTTAGATTCTATGCAAGCTTTACCAAAATTATCCCATGTGGAATGGGATTCAAATAGTATGGATATAGAAATCCATGGAAAACCAAAATTTCATGATTTTGGACATTCAAAATCAAGTTAAATGAAGCAAAATCCTTTTTTGTTAATTTTGTTTTTTTAAAATAAATTATTTATATGTATAATTACATATGGGTTTTGCATAATACTTTTTTAAAATAAGGAATGTATAACTGGAAGTATGTGACTATGCTATGTAAAAGGTTACAAACATTCATAATACATTACCTATGTTCCATTCATTCTCAATGTGATAAAAGTATTTAATAGATTAAATTGCTGAATTCTTTAATTATATGGTTCATGGCATTTTACTTTAATCATTCACTTTTATTTTATTTAATATAAATTACATAAAATATCAACATTAAAATTTATTCACACCTTTACATGTAAATATTGTGTAACAGATGTTTATACTATGAATTCTAAATGAATATCTATTTCTTGTTACTTTTAATTAAATGTTTATTATATTCACAGTTCATTTTGTGCAAGCACAAAAGTATACAAGAACAATGGAATATCCAAATTGCAGTACATACTAACCTAACACATATAATTTAATTTATGAACAATTTATTTATTCAACGTACAAAGTTATGTACCTTCACCTAATTTTTTATTAGCTGCTATTACATTTTCATTAGCAATCACTTGGAACTCTTGAAATCGTTGCGATACTCTTTGGTTCATCTTCAAATATTTTTCCATGCAATTCAGGGCACACTTTTCCTCCTTCGACTTGATATCCCGAGTAGTAAAATCATTAATGCAATCAATAAAACAAATTTCTGATAATTTGTTATAGGACGTCAGGAACTCTCGAAACTGTAGTACAAAAATTTTAGTCATTAAGGGTCGTCATTAATCACAATTTATTTCTTTTATCGCGATTAGAAATTTAATAATTTACTATATCTCACATTCATAAATACATATTTCATTTAATATAATACGAGGTGATCTTTTTATAAATAATGTTTTGTGAAGACACCACAAATACATACAGTTTTAATTTGCCCAGAATCCACATTTGCAGGAACCTGCATTGCCATTATAATAAATAATTTACTTTCTAATCTTTATACCACGCACTAATAATTTATGCACCTTACGAAGTTAAAGAAACTGTGACGTGATAATTGTTAGGTTAGGGTAAAGTAACTTATGTACACCACGTGCACAAGGTATACGCGTGCACATCGAATTGCTTGCAATAAGAGAATACCCGTCTACCCTTTCATATATAGATATCGATCAAGTACTCGAATACGGTCTTTCCTTAAAACATCTGATAGGCTGTATTTACAAATCTCTAATCCTAAAACTATCTAAATTTGAGGTTTAAATGTCTTAATTCACAGTTGTGCATACAAAACCTTTTTGTGTTATTAATTCTTAAATACACGTATTTCGGAACACATTAGAACATTTGCTTTTTCAAAAAAGTATTCGTTTCAGGAATCAATGATTGTGAAGTAACAGTGTAATTAAACTTAAACAATCATAAAATATGAATTTTCATAAAGTACTGATTATTATTAATTATGAAATTTACTCAATTCTTAATCAATTTGGTAATTAATATCTTTCATTCAAAATCTAACCAAAAATATTAAGGGCAATAAATTATTCAGAAAAACCGATTACAAAATTCAGACTAACAATTTAGATCGCGGATATTATTAAAAATGAAAAGAATAATTATTTTTTGTTAGATTACAAAAATTAGCCGTGGACGAGAATAAAGGGCATAGCTGGTAAAAATTGAGCAGATGTTTCCTGTCGACAGTTGACCGCGGTGCATGAACCACAGTGGGCCGAGTCTTTATTTCGGTTACATCGAAGCGTTTATGTTTTCTTTAAAAGGTGAGCAGTAAATAAATAGTTTCATTTTATTTTATTACATAATTCTTATATTAAAATATGTTTAATTGCCTATACAATATTTTAATTTTTATTAAATACATGTTTTCAATTTATTATAAGACTAAAGTTTTATAATTAAATCTTATGCTGTTTATACACAATTTTAACATTTGAATGTGTATCATTTTTCATTACACTTATATGATAGTAATTTCTGAAAAGAATTATTGCTTGGATGTTTTTCTTTTAATTTGTCGTTTTTATTTCCGAATGTAAATATTGGTTACGATAGTGAGTCAAGAACAGATGACAAACGAGGGTTCATAAAAACAATGAAAAATTTCAAATACGTTATATTGCGCTAAACTACACTTGAACTTTTGACGTAGTCGGAATGTAACAAACAAATGTCTCTTTTTACTTACATTGTGTTTACATAAACATATTAATAATGATCTGACATGAAAGTTTAATCAAATTTCACAAGATTTCAAAATTTGATCCATAAAATATTTTTCCTTTTTAATAGTCACACATCATAATTGTTTATTTACACTGCTGCTGGTATGGTTATTTTTTTTAAATATTGCGTCGAAGGTAAATTAATATACGGAATTTTGAGCAAGTACTTCACTTTATACATTATAATTTGAAATATTTTAAATTTCATCGAATTTTCATCATCGGTTACGTGTATCTTCTACCCTACCATAAGTAAATTATTGGAGGAATAAACACTGTTTTCTATAGATGGCGCTCCCTTCCACTTTTTCGAACTTATTCGTATGCTATGATTTACATGTAACAGTTTCAAAATCAGTGGTACATGTGTTTTTTTGTAGCGTTAAACTGTCAGTAATATAAACAATTAACATTACATCATGATTTATTAAACAATTATTAAGTTCCCATTGGCATTGCATATCATCGATTTAAAACTTACGAAATTATTTGTAATATTAAAATTTTATAAATTGTAGGCAATCGATCGAATGTAACGATATACGATTCGAATGATCAGTGTTCGCAATCATGCCTAATGACAATCGAAATATTCCTACAATCGACAGAAAATCGAATTTCACACTGGGTAAAAAACCGCCATCGGTAAAGTCGCAAAAAGGGCAATCGGCGAAAATTACTGTAAAAAATAGAACTCTGCATACTCAGAGAAAAAATGTACTAGGCAATTTAACAAGAAAAGAACAAAACGGCGGGAACATATCTTCCCAAAGGAATATTACAGATAAGAAAGAAACTGATTCCAAAAGTATAACAAAGTTTACGGACAAATGTCCCAATGACATGGATTACGATAATAAAATTGCTGTGTTGCGTAAAGAAATACAAAACTGGAAGGTTAACGAAATTTTAACCTCCAGAACTGGAGAAAGATTCATTGCAACCCCTAGTGAACATCGAACTTTTAGTTACGGTATTGTTAATTAAATACAACATTTAAACTAAAAATAATTCTATTATATTTATCGTTAATTACAAATATATTTTTTATTATTTGCAGTCGCTTCGGGGGAAACCACAAAGAGGCAGCGAAGTCCCAATAATCCTCTTAAATCCGTCAGGACGTACGTTGACTTCCCCGCTGTAACGTGAGTACTACTCTTCTCTTTTTTTTATTTCTGGTGTGGATTTAAAACTATAGTCGAGTCCATGGAAGAATCGACCTTTCTTCTATAAGCTCCCTTCCGACTTCATGATTTGAAAGTAAATACTACAGCCACATCAGACTTAATTGGCTGCTCAAGGCCATTGTGAATGGTTACCCCCATTATTCTGTTTGGCTAACCAGTTGCTCCATGTTCCACAAGCACGGGCATCATACGAATATGAAAGGAATAATAATAACTTTCAGGCTTTAGCAGGCTCTGCGTACGCTCGACAATTTGAAACAAAAATTTCCATTATATTAATCGACGAAATATTTCTCCTTGTAATTAAGAAAAATTTATAAAATGTTACATTCGAAGTGGAACCAGTAAATAGATAAAGGAAGGCAACATATAAAACAGTTTCCACGAAACGTACTTTTTCTTTGGCTCAAATGTAAATTCCCAGTGGAAATTAACATATTTAAATCGTTTATTTTATACTAAACACGAATATTTTTTTTCCGTGTCCGAGTATTTTTAATTATATTTTATTCCATAATATAATTTTAATACATATCACGGTATCCATCGGAGATGCAAAATACTTATATGTCGCGCCCGTTTAAGTGCAACTTATCGGATAAGTGAACATTTTTTATCGTACCGCGAGTGTGTGTTTCTAGCAACGTGACTAAGGTAAGTGAAGAACACATTTATGAGAAAGAAATTTGCCCGTAATACAGGATTAAAGACCACTCGAGGCTACGCTCGGATGCACGTGTGTGTTTCCTTCGCGTACGATAAAACGTGACCGAGTCGATTGTCATGCGTCGAACAGCCAAGAAAGAGGGCCGGGAGTGTCTTACGTAAGTAACTGTAAATGAAGAACGATGGGAGAGAGACACGAGCTGTGTATCTTCAACGATGCAAGTAAATACACACGCGGCAAAGGACTACGTCATTCTGGAATTTTCGAAAGTTTCGTCTAACCGGTTTTCTGATTGCAGACAGTCAGGCTCGTTCGGCTCGCCGGTGGCGCTCGTATCCAGACTAACCTCCGCGGATCATTTAACGTCGTTATCTCGTTTACTTACCCGTGGCAGCATATTCAATCTTTCATTCATATTTCCCTCGCAACACACGATTATCCATTAAAACTTTCCTGTAAAACTTATCGAATGGATAAATCTATAAATTCGACACGGCCAAGCCGCGTCTGAAATCGCTACAAGAGTTTCCCACTTTCATTCGAAGCAAATGGACGCATTTCAATTTTCCCGCTCGACCCGCATGAAACCCTGATGCGCGATTAATTAACGTGCACGGCCGCGCAATTTTATCGAGAGAGCGAGAGCGAGGAGGAGAGGCCGTTGGATGCCTGTTTGGCAGTGCCGTCACGAATGAAAAATGATAATGAGCACAGTGCTGTAGGTTAGTGAGAACAATAGCCACTTACGCTAATCAACGGTAGGCGCATGCCGCTCGCGTTCAGTAGTAAAAATATTTTCGGCGATAGCTTCGTGCACCGAATAACAAGACAAGCCATCGCGAGGCATCGCCGAATTCGTCCCCGACCATGAAGTCGTTTCTACCTAGCCGTCGTGACTGAAATTTTTTTACCGGCGGCGCGCGCACTGGCGTCCCGTCCGCCTGTCATTTCGCCCGACGCAAGGGCTCGTGTGCGAGGCTTTTGCTCGTCGTGCGAGTCACCGTGGCCCCCGAGGACATTCGTCTTCGGACGGGCTGCGAACGCGTCGTCGGAGTCTCCCCTCCGACCGCGTGTTAATAATGGAAACGAGAAATAAAATCGAGATGGCCTCAAGGTCCGCGGGTAAACGAGACTTCGAATGCGGCCAGCTCATCCGGATAATGATGTAGGTTAGGTTCCCAGCGACCGTGTATCGCAAAAATCAACATTCTTCGCGAAGCCAGGGTTCGCAAAAACCCCGTAAACCGGTTTGCCTCGTAAATGGCACACGAGCGTGCGAACGGGAGGACAGAACGGCGGAGAGAAAGACCGAGTGAGAGTAAAGAAGGCGAAGGAGAAGAAGCCGATCCTCTCTCGGACGCTGATTTACAGTAAACCAATTTCTCAACGATACATACATGGATGTATATTCACCGAAAAGGAAGAGGAATTATACTATAGACCATCGACTATCTCAATTGGTTTCCTCGACACTAGAACTACCGAGCAGCTAAACCATCTTTTTAAAATGTCTTTATAAAAGCTAAAACTGTGAATTTATTAAGATTTCAATTGGCTTATGTTTCAGTTTAGATATTACTAAATCAGTTTCATTAATCATTTCTTAAAGAAGAATCTATACCTTTGCAGCAATTGTAGAAGAAGCAGTTAGGAGTTGGTCATTTTCACCTATCTGGTAGTTCTAGTATTAACACTTGTTACATACACTGGACGTGTGAAACGATCGGTACTGGCAGAAATAAAATGAATCCCAGTCTTTGCTAAAGTTATTTCTCGACGTAACGAGAGCATGAGCGTCGACTTCCGTACCGTGTACAGCCGATTCATCGTTCTTAACACGTTGAATGCCATGGGGGTCACCGGTGACCCCTAACCAAATCGAATTACCATAGTTTATTCAATTAAACGGCGATTATTTGAAAACACTCATATATTACGATTCAATCAAATGATTTAATATTATATCTTCACCATTTTGTGTATTTTTTCTCATGAAATCGTGTGGCGTTCAACGTGTTAACAGTTATGGACGTTTTTCTGATTC